TCTCCTAACTATGGCCACAGCACCAAAAGTGTATGTTCATCAACACAGCTTCATCATTCTCAGAGGTAAGTGCATACATTGGTTCTTACCATGAGGATGTGTGTGTGTATGTGTGTGTACACATAAATATGTTAGATATAAGTAACTACAATTTTAATCTATAAACTAAAATACTATTATCATTTTCAATCTGTTTATACATTGGTATCCACTGATTAAAAACAAAAACAAACAAACAAAAAAAACAGGCATAGTGGAGCATGCATGTAATCTCAGCTACTCAGGAGGCTGAGCCAGGAATGTGAGGCCAGTCTATGCTATTCAGTGCAGTTCCTAGCGCAGCCTGGACTGCAGAGTAAGACCTTGTGAAAAGAAACAATAGAACAAAGGAAAGGAGGGAGGGAAAGAGAAAGCAAGTTTGGAAACCAATGTTCCGAATTCTTTCAGGATACCTGAGATATTTTACTTTAGATTTAGACATTTGAGCTAAACTTTGATGTGGATCATAAGCCTTAGCCCGGGTTGTCAGGAGTTTCTGTAATTCTTTCATTCTTTGCTTCTGCTTAGTTAAGATCCGATTTCTTTCTTCTTCCAACATTTTCTTTTCCTCAAGTGATCTCCTGAGGGCAATAAACTAAGGCTTAATTCACCTTAAGCCAAGAGAAAGTTGCTTAACACATGTTTAACACGAAATGACTCAAAGGTTGGGAGAAAGAAAACCCAACCTTTTGGGAAGGATCTGACTTGTGAAATTGGAAAGCCAATCAAGGCTAACTGTAACCTTTTCTTTCCCCAAAGATTCACAAAAAACATGCATTCATTTCTTTAAAAAATACCCTTAGCACAATGTTCATTATATAGTAAAATATGTTACAGATATAATAGTTTCTTAATCTTTTCAAATTCACCACTATAAACCCAACAGAGCTATGTTCACTAGCTTAGCAAGCACAATCCAGTCAGTCCGAGTCCCAGGTTTACCTGATGGCTCGTTCCCGTCCTCTGGAGGACACTGTGGGCACTGGAGGCCTGCAGCTGCAAGACGCAGGTTTTGCACTTGCATTTCTTCCTGATGACTTACGCCTTGGAGACAGATGAGGGCAACGTGCCTGTTTCAAATTTTCTTCATCTACCAAATTGTTCTCCCTTTCAGCAGATTTACTCGAAGTAACATGAAGATCAGGTGGTTTTTGGACTGCTGAGAATTTTGGACACTTGTGTTCTGAGAAGCGTTTCTTATACTCCTCAGGAAGGTCCTCAACATCAGGAGTCTCGGACCTGGCCTTGTGTTTATTCCTTAATTTCCCAGCCTGTTCAGGACACTTGGGGTTCCTAACATGTTTGTAACCTGGTCTATAAAGCAGAGGGGAAGAATTCTGTAAAAGCTGTTGTGCTTTCAGCTGTGTCCTAATGTTTCGAAGGAGCTCTTCTTCTTTTAACTTGTCGCTGTAGGCTGAACCATAAGTAGATCGAGGTATGGGTTTGGCTTTAAATCGATATGTTTTCTTTTTAGACTTGAAATAATCTCTCAGTTGCTTTTCCCGGGCTGCTTGCTTCTGTTCTTCCCTTGCAACAAATGTAAATGGCTTTTGTAAGGCCAAAAGAGTTTCTCTGTTTTTCTCCTTCCTAGCCCTCCTCCGTTCTTCACTTTGCTTAACTAGCTCATGATACAGGGGAAGGAGGACACTCAGAGGAACTGGATTGGCTCGGAATTTCTTCTTACACTCTGAATCTTCTTCGTTTTTGAGCAGTTTTTGTACTATTTCTATATCTGATTTAGATTTCATGGCTTCTTTTTTCTTCTGTTCTCTAATCATCATTTGAAAAGGTACAGGTATTGTAATTGTGGGCACCCATCTTTTTGGTTTCTTTCTTGTTTTTTCAGTTACTTGGAAGTCAGTATCTTCACCCTGAATATAATCTTCAACACAAAAGTCTTTCCACATGTTGCTAATGAGCTCCTTAGCATAGTTCATTATTTTGTTTTTCCCAGGATGCTCTTTTTCTAGGTTGGGCAGCTCTTCTTCCGAGGAAGAAGTATACAAGGAGGAAGACTGGCCTAAGTCTGGCTCCGAAAGCGACGTCATTAACACAACAGGATGACAGGAGCTATTTTCCGATACAGAACTGAGAAGAATAAATAGAACTATATGTGACAAACATAAAAATTAAGCTGAAGTCACATGCTTATCCCCATTAGGTTAACACTGAACCTAACCTTTGAATTTGAATTCGGTCCTAGGCCAGTCTGGTTTGCAACCAGAATTATCAAGTGAATTGAGTTCATGAACTGAAGTACCACTCTCTACACGGTGGTACCTTGGTTCACAAACTTAATTTGTTTTATGATTCTGGGGAAGATGGCCGCAGTTATGTTTGTCACTCAATGTGGAGTTTTTGAATAGCAGTAAAATTCTTTCAAATTTTGTTTAGGAAACAAACTGAACAAACTAGGCATTACTATAATAATAAACTATACCTGAGATGGTATTGGTATCAGCTATACTGTATTGGTATATTATGTATCTCTCTGTCACTCTCTTTTCTCTATCTTTGTGTGTGTGTGTGTGTGTGTGTGTGTGTGTGTGTACGTTACATATGTATTATATACATATTTTCTTTCAGAGTAGTGGGATCAAACTTGGGAGTGCCCTATCACCAAACTATACCCTCAGCTATTTTTAATTTTGAAACAGTGCCTTGCTAAGTTATCTAGGTTGACCTTGACACTTTCCTGCCTCAGCCTCCCATGTAGCTGGAATTACAGGCCTGTGCCACTGAGCCCAGCATCTAACTGTTTGGTACTGAGCATTAAACTCAGGACCTCACCTTTGCCAGGCAGATGCTTACACCACTGACCTATCTCTCTGGCCCAAGCCCAGCATCTTTATAAGTTAATCCACATATTAGACTAAGCTTTTAAAATTAAACTTTAATATTTATCATTTAAATGACACAATATGTAAAAAAAATGACACAATATAAATCTTTTGACATATATGTACAGGTCTGTGAGTGTTAAGTCAAAAAGGAAAAACCAAATGGCCACCAAATGACTCTCAAAGAAAGAAGCCACCTAGTAAACCAACAAGTCATTAAAACTTCTACTGTTTTTGGGTACTGGGGATCAAACTCAGGACCTTGCAGTTGTCAGGCAGGTGCTATGCTACTGAGCTATCTTCCTGGTCATTTTGAATAAAATCATACTTCTGTGTATCATTAAAAGCACAAAGGGATATTTAAGAGAAAATATTCTGAAATAATTTCATTCCACATTTTTAGGGTACATCTTATTTTATAGTGCACAAATGGCACTGAGCACTTACCTGGAAGAGTTGCTGGGAATATCTTCCCTGATGGTCGCTGGCTGAAATTCCTTTAAATTTAATTTATTCTGGTACATTTTCTCTAATTTTGCCATACTTTCTATGTGAGCAGCCTTCAGCTCCTCTAGTTTCCTGAAATACTCTTCGTTAGAGTGGCGGATGTCAGAAAAGCTCACAATGTTGCCATAGTTGAAACTTCTTCCCTGCACTGCAGAGTTGGTGTCAGAATCAGCCTGGCAGGGGAAAAGCCTGTTACATGGTGTTTGGAATCAAAGAAATTAAAATGACACTGACCCAGATGCAGCTTCCCAAAGGGTCTACACCTTGGTAGGCTACATTACTTTAGGTTACATTACTTGAGGTTGGTGTACATTTTCTCTAATCCTATTTTAAGAACAAGAGAGATCAAACTGTCAGAAAATAAATGCTGCTTAATCTATTTTATAATGGATAGATGGATTCCTGGATGAACCAAGAATTAATGCAGTATATTCACATTATAGCAGGATGGACCAGATCACTTTTGATGTTTTCAATACTGGTATTGAGGTCAGGGCCCTTCAGCATACCGGGCACGCGAGCGCTATACTCTAAGTCACATCACTACACCCTTCTAAAAATCCTGTTTTGACACAGAGTCCCACTACACTGCTTCTGCTTCTTCTGCCTCTCCTTCCTTCAGCCTCCCGAGGGCTGGGGTCACAACCACATACCAGCCCACTCGGCACGAATCACTTTTTACAGTTGCTATAAAGAGCCTTCTTCTGGATGAGTAGGAGCACAGCTCCTTCTGCTGTAAATCAATCAAACAGAAGCCAGAGCCATTCCCTGTAACTCTTCAGTGAGACTCCAGGGTGGGCCAGTGCAGAGAAGGCAGAACAGAGGAGGGGATGAGAGCTGGAGACAAAGTTCTCCATCGTTTGGTAAGAAGCCATCTGAGATGAGGCTGCAGAGGGGACTCAGAGGCCACGAGGGGAGTTGGAATTTTCAGGACAGTCTTTTTCTTTTTCGTTTTTTTTTTTTTTTTTTTTTTTTTGAGATAGGTTCTTGCTACATAGTTCAGGCTGACTCATGAACTTGCCATGCTTGAGGCAATGCTCCTGCCTCAGCCTCCTGATGCTGGGATTATGGCCATGTGCCACCATGCCTGACTTTAGAACAGTCTTTCCTGGGGGACAACAAGAATAGTGATTTCCAAAAAAAAAGAGCAGTAACTTCCATAGGGGGCACAGACTCTGACAGTGAAAACAGAACAAAGATTATTCTGTATATACACAGTCATATATGGATATTCCAGATATAACTGAGATAAAATCTGTTTCTTTATAAACATTTTAATATGCTCTCAATTGAGAAAGTTGAAATTATTTATGACACTGTGCATAAATGATTATATATCAGCCATGATTATAAATTTAGCTTGATGTTTAAACAGACTCAAACATTTTAAAAGTATATTTGTTATGAAAACTAAAGATTCACTCAGGTAAGGCTCTAGAAAAATAAATCAGTTTACTTTCTCCCAACATAAAAATTCAGAAAAGTCAATTATAAGTAATAGTTACTAATGTAGTTACCTACTTATTTATTGGTACTGGGCATTGAACTCACAACCTTGAGCTTGCCTCACCAGTGTTGTGCTGCTGAGCTATATCCCCAGCTGATATATAATGGGATAAAAACAGTGTATAAGAGGTCAGAGTTCCAACATTTCGGGTAATTTAGAGAAAACAAATGAAAAAAAATGAAATTTCCTTCAAAATAATTGACGCACAAATTTGTTATACTAACAAATCTATGATTAAAAAAACCTAATTGCCAAGGAAATGGCTCAGTGGTGTGTCTGTTTGGCAAGTGCAAGGTCCTGAGCTTGATCCCTGGTAAAAAAAAAAAAAAAAAAAAAAAAAAAAAAAAAAAAAAAGCTGGGTGTGGTGGCACACACCTGTAATCCCAGCACTCAGGAGGCTGGTGTAGGAGGATCTTTGAGAATTCAAGACCAGCCTGGGCTACAAAGTGAACTCAAGGCCAGCCTGAACTGCACAGCCTATCTCAAAAAAAAAAACAAAACAAAACAAAAACAAACAAAAGTTTCTACCACAGGAAAAAAATAATAATTACTCTTACACATGACTGAATCTTGCAAAGAGATACTAATTAAAGAGCTATATTCATTCTATTGAACATTAAGGAAAAGACTTTTTACTACCCTTAAAGCAGTTTGAAGGTATTCCGATGAACTATTTTTAGATGAAAGCATCCATTTGTTCTTACTCATTCTTTCAGAATATTTCTTAAAATTTTATCTCAATCATTTAAACAAAAAGAATCAAATGTATTTTGACCTGGAAGAGCTATGTTGGTGCCTTTGCTCCTTGAACACTTTTTGAAGCATTTGGCAAAATTTTGTTTTTGTTTGCAAACTCTGCATCAGGTGATGAACATGACCATGGCCATCTTTTCCCTTGTGAATTAAGTTCATGAACTAAGGTACCACTGATTTGAGGAAACACTGAGAAGGCCAGGGACGTCACTCAGTGGCAGAAGTGCCTGCGTGGCAAGTGCAAGGTCCTGAGTTTGATTCCCAGTACAAAAAAAAAAAAAAAAGACCAAAAGATGAGTAGCTTTTGAAGAGATGTGCAGGCTTGATAACTAATTCTTATGCACTAACTTTTGCATACTAGCCAACTTCTGTTCAGCTTAGTAATGTTAATACAAGACAGAGCTTTCCAGGTAAACTGATCTCACAGAGCTTTACCAAAGACAGATGAACAACTAAGAAATGACTTTCAGTGTTAATATCCTCTGTAATTGTCCACATTCAGAAACATTTAGTATATCAACATAGGCATGGACATGATTTTTCTCTCCCTTTAATCGTTTTGGTGTTTGTGGAGCCCTGTAAATGCTGCCACTCTATCAGAAGATAATCTTCCTGAGACTGGCTTGACCCACTTAGATAATGAATGCTTCTAGTGTCTGCGGCTTCATTAGATCAGTACCCATAAGGATAGTTGGGGTTGTAGCCTACAATGCTGAAATTTTTTTTTCCATTGGAAAAGATGTGTTAGCAACAAGGCAGACCTCATGTACTACTATGGCTACTTCCCCATGAATAAAAAGAGAAAAGCCAACTTGTATCTTTATAACATGCTACCACATATTAAAATACACACACAGGAGATCAAAAAAGCTCAAGAATAAAATATATAACAAATTTAAACAGTGGTTACCACTGGGGAGAGCATGGATATCCAGATTTCTTTGGGGCAGGCAGAGGTGTAAGCGGGGCCTAAACCCTTTATGTAACATCTGTTTTTTGTTTTTTTTTTTTTTTGTTTTGTTTTTTGGTGGAGCTGGGGATTGAACTCAGGCCCTTGCACTTGCCAGGGAAGCACTTACGCTACTGAGCCATCTCCCTGGCCCAATTTTATTTTTTAAGAGACAGTCTCTGCAATGTTGCCCAGGCTGGCTTTGTAGCTTAGCAGAAAAGACAAAGGATGTTTTGTGACTAGAAATTCTGCACTAAACACTGCACAGTGTCTGCCAGACACCTGGCCTGCTCAGCAGCCATGCTTCCCTGTCCCTGGCAGTTCTGTTTACCCGTCCCTTGCTTCTTCCTCTAACTGCTCCCACCCTTCAAATGCTCCCTTACCCTTGACAGTTGGTTCTCTAGGAATACAGAAACCATCAGAGGGAAGTTCCTTCAACTTACCTATGAAACTTTCCCTTTGGGGCTCCTTCCCTCCAGGGACGAAATGCAGCACATGATACTTTCCCTTACTGGTACAGTGAACAGGGGCCCTCCATCCTCCTCCCTACTTTTCCCACCACTGTGGCTGCTCCTAAATCTCTACCTGCTGTTGAATGTTGAGGGCTGGTTTGTTTATCTTTTGAGAAAGGGTCATGCTGTGTAGTCCAGGCTAGTCTTGAACTTGTGGTGATTCTCCCAAATGCTAGGATTTAGGTTCCATGCCCAGCCTGAATGTTGTGGTTCTTAACAACTCCATGGCAGCCTTCTCTGCTTTCTCCTTACGTGACCTTATTCACTGCTGCTGTTTTAAGAATGCTGAAAATATAAATCTCCAGCTCAGGCTCCATAGATCACCACAGCTCAACGTCCTCTACACATTTTTTCATGGCTCTACAAGCATCTCAAGTTCACCATGTTTAAAAATTGAAACCTTGATTTGCACTCACCCCTCAGAACTATTCCTCTGCCAATGGTCCCCGATTCAGTAATATTACCTTCCACACAGCTGTTCAAACCAGAAACCTGGGAATAAACCTCCTTGATTTCTTCCTTTTCCTTGGCCTTTATATTGAACCCAATAGTATGTCCCAACATTCTTCAGCGACTTGTCCACATCTTGCTATCACCTCTGTACGCACAAGTCCAAATCACTGTCTCTAGCACCTGAACTACAACAACCTCCTAACCAGTCTCCTTACCTTTGTTGCATCAAATGCTTTGATCATTTTCCACAAAGACATCAGAGTGATCTCTCCAAAATGTAAACAGAAACATATATCCTCTCCCGCCCCCGCCACTTCCTGGTCCTGCTGGCTTTCTTTCAGGTCCTTAATCACACAAAGCTCTCTTCATATCTTAGGGTTTCTGCATATGCTGTTCTCGCTGTACCATGCCCTCTTCCAAGGCTTGTTCTTTCTCACCCTTCAGGTATGGTTGTACATGTTAACAACTCAGTGTAAGTAGGTTCCTATTTATTTCGTCTTTAAATCATCATAGTCTGTTCACTTATTTTCCAATGTTTCCCATCTTTCAGTCATTTGACTATTCACATTCTGTCGAATAACTTCTCCACCAAGCTGAAAGGCCTCATGATATGAGTTAGATGTGTTTTGTTTACCACTGAACATTTAGTGACTAGCACTTAATAAATGCTGAGGCCGGCCTGATAGCTCAGCTGACTAAAGCGCCTGCATTGGCAGAGTGCAGCAGCCAACGTGCACTGAGAAGGCGACTGAGACTGGGTGTGGTAGTACACACCTGTAATCTCAGCACTTGGCAGGCTGAAAACAGTCCAATCTATGTAGTTAGACCCTACAGACCCTGTCTTAAACACATTAAGAAAAAAAAAAGCTGAATACTTGTTGAAAAATAAAATGTCAAAAAAAAATAATAATAAAAAGAAAAATAGAATGTTGTTCCACTAGAAAATTCAGTCAAATCTTAACTTTGAAATATACATTTCTACATGGCTGAACCTATGAACTGACAACTCTAATTAAAGCTAGATTAAAGGAGCATGCCCTCAGCCCAACATGGGCACAAAATCCTCCAAAGGGCATGTGGATGCTTGGGAGTAAAGAGAAAGCACATGGGGATGATCTAGGGATAGGGTGGGTGATTTGGGTGGCCTGGGGTTAGCAAAATCAGAAGACCAAAAGAGGCCTATTGTGATAGGTTTTGAGTAAGTCTTGTAGGATGGAAATAGTATGTGAGTTTACTGTATTTTATAGATGACAAAGTTGAGACAAGTCAAACTTTCAAAATCAAGGGCTGGGGAGATGGCTCAGTAGAAAAAGTGCTTCCTTGGCAAGCGCAAGGGCCTGAGTTCCATCCCCGGTTCTGCCAAAAAAAAAAAAAAAAAAAAAAAAAAAATCAAGATTGAGACCCAGGCCAATCTGTGAAGAGGGAAAGACTGGCTCCTGCATTCTTTTCTGCCTTTTCAGCACCACTGGTTGCAGCCCTGGTGCCCCCGGCCATCAAGCTTACTGTGGTCAGTTACCCCCCATTTGGTCTTTCATGTGTGGTGGTCTCAGAAGAGTGGCAAACTTAAAATACTTTTCTGGTAAGATCCTGTCCTTTTGAAACGAGTTCATTGTATAAAATGATCACTCCTAAGGTAGTAGCAGGTCATAATACAAATCTGTAGTCTAACATGGCATTCTGGGAATATAAGTACAACTATACAAATGACTACCACAAACCAAAGTAAAACTTAATTTTCAAGCAGGTTGCTCAAATGACAGTCCCATGGGCAGTTGTTATCATTAGTGCTAATTTGTATAAAGTGCTCTCTAGATATGGCATACATTCTTTCATCTGGTTCTAACGAATGAGATAGGAAAGGGAAACAATTATTACAGTACTTTTATAGGTAAACTGAGATCTAAGGAAGTCATATCCTAATCATATCTTAGCAAGTAACAGAAAATAGATCCAAAGGAAGGAAGGAAGGAAGGAAGGAAGGAAGGAAGGAAGGAAGGCAAGCAAGCAAGCAAACAAACACATTCTAGTCCAGGACTCCAAATCCTCCATGGGGCCAGGAAGATGTCTCAGTAGAATAAGTGCTTCCCTGGCAAGTGCAAGGGCCTGAGTTTGATCCCCGGTTCAAAAAAAATTCATCCCTTCCTCCATTCAAATCTTTTTCCATCATCACGTTGCCTCTTCTGCTACCTAGTGTACATTGCGCTGAAGGGTAGCTTTCTCACGTATGGAAGTGTTCCCAGGGTTCCAATTCTGATTCACATTCAGGGTCTCAATCTGCCTTACTCACTTTAACCTCAAGGTGTTTGTAAAATATTAGCCATAAAACGTTTGCTATAGATTCTCTCATTGAAGTTCTGGTATAATTACAAGGACTAGAATTTCAAAATATTCGGTGATTTTGATAAGCTCTGGACCATAATGTTTTGCATCTCAGCAGCTTTCGGCATGTGGTATTAAGAAACCATAACTGGGGATAAAGAGATTTATATCGACAATTCAAGCTTCTCGTCATCTAAGTGAACAGAGCAGATGGTAGGCTCTGGTCTCCACCTGTTGCACAGGTGGGCACGACAGGTCTGACACTGAAAAGTTGATCTTTGCAGGGCTCCACCCTGAAGACCTCTTTAGGAAACCCTGGGATCTCAGTAAACTGCTTGCATGGATGCTTATCTATACCATCCACTGGACTCTTGATGATTTTAAACACCTAATGAACTGTGCTAAAATATGCTAATAACCAAGAAGTGAAAAACACACCTGATGGCACAGCTGATTCACTTGAATTTTTATTTTATTTATCATGGGGTGGCCCAGCCTTCAAGTGGGAAAAAATCAGTTCAACAGATGCTGGGGGTGCAGGAGGGGGTAGGAAGCAGAGTAGAAAAAGAGTAAAAAAAGTTCTCTCCAAAAAAGTTTCAGTACAATCTCTTAAACACCTCGGTTTTGAATATTTTTTCGGAGGGGCGAACAGGCAAAGGGAAGGTGGTAGACCAGGATCACCAGGTACGGAGGTTTGCACAAGGCCCCGTGCGTCCAGCCGGTCGGGGAGGGCCTGGGACCCGCACCAGCGCCGCGCCGCACCCAGCCCGCGCCCGGCTCCAGCCCCCGCCCGGGTCCCGCCCTCGCATTACCCACGCCCGCGCGGGCCGCAACACCTTCTCATCCTCCTCCAGCGAGACTGCCGCCGCCAGGGCCTCTAAGAGGTCTTCACGCTCGTACTGGGCGACCCGCGCTCCGGTTTGGGGATTTACCGGGAGGTGGAGACTGGCGGCCGCCAGTTTCGCCTCCCGGTGCGAGGCGGCCATCACCCCACCTCCGAGGCCAAAGCGCCAGCGCTGGCCCGGGGCGGGTAAACTGGAGCGGCCTTCCGCGACCTGGCAGGTCTTGGCGGGAGGTTACTAGGGTCGCGGTTACTAAGGATGCTACAGGAGCCGCGAGGGACCAAAAGTCATTCAAACCCTCACATGCGACCAGAAACCAAAGTTACCCATTTAACTTTTCTTTTCTTTTCTTTTCTTTTCTTTTCTTTTCTTTTCTTTTCTTTTCTTTTCTTTTCTTTTCTTTTCTTTTCTTTCTTTCTTTCTTTTTCTTTCTTTTTTGTTCGTTTTCTTTACTTTTTCAATTTAACTTATTTTTCATAAAGTAGTATCAGTTATGACAGGTGTGGTGATGCACGCCTGTCGTCCTAGAACACGTGAGGGTGAGCAGGAGGGTAGCCCTGAGTTCGTGGCCAGCCTGGGCTCATAATGAGCTCGAAGCCAGCCTGAATTACATTAGCAAAACTCTTTAAATAAAAAGACGTTAAAGTAATAACACTTTATAATAAAAATCTCCAGCTCAACATGGCATTCTGGGACTATAATTGCAACTATACAAATGACTCTACCATGGACACGAAGTATAGTTTCATCTTCAAGCTAGTCGCTAAAATGAGGTCCCATTAGCACTGTTGTAATTATTACTAATAAACAAAATGATATCCAATTTATTGGATAATGCGAGTTGGTACTGAGTCTCTTTGTTGGTTTAGAAGGTTGGCGGACCCAACAGGGAACTTCTTTTCCTTTTTCGCATTTAACCGCCTAAATGCAGACTTTTGATACAAAGGAAACACATTTTTTGAAGATAACATGTTAGGAGACGCAGAGGAAGCAGCAGGAAGCAGGTGGTGTTTTGTGACAGTCCTTGAAAAGGTAGGTGCGTTTGTAGCCAGCGGCAACTGAAGTGTGACACGTTCTCCTTTGATTGACTTTAGAGCTAGCTAGCAGGAGTCGACCAATCAGAAAGAGGATTCTACAAAACGCCAGAGTTGGGTGGTGCTAGGCTCTCTTCAATAAGCTCAGGTGGTATGAACCTGGTGTGTGCCTTGGGTTGTCACATTGGAGGTGGCAGGAATAGAGCCACGTGAGCCCAATAGCGACCACAGGTGCAAAATCATCCACCCCACCCTCACTAATGTCCACCTGGGATTTGTGTCCCCCAAATAGTGCCTTCTCTTTGCACTACCTGCCTGTAAGAAAAACCAACGCTCAACATAGCAGACCTAGTAGTCTCGACCTCCTGCTACTGAAGCTAAGCCTCTACTTCTCAAGGCAGAGGCTGCCACTTCTTGTCACCACTGTAAAGTTACAGTATTTTCTGTGTTATGTGGTGAGCCTGAGCCTTCTCCTCCGCGTCCTTTGGTCAATTCAGGCTGGCTTTGAGCGCACTTTGTAGCCCAGGCTGGTCCGGAACTCCCAAGGATCCTCCTGCCTCAGACTCCCGAGTGCTGAGGTTAACAAGCCTTTCTTGTTGGTCTGCTGGAATGTAAGCATCTGTGAAGTCCTCCATCTCCTCCAGGTTACCGTTTGTTTTGGCCAAGCAATTGCTTCTCAGGGGCTGGTTGATTCTGAACTGAAGCCAAGAGGCATGGATATCCAAGTGACAGGGTGTCAAACTGGAGTCAGTAACATGCAGCTAGTTTTGTGGTTGCATGTGTCCCTGCTGGGGTTCAACGCAAACCCAATAGAAAAAAATCCTTGTAAAGCAAGTCCACATGCTGGAACATTACAAGAATGTTAGATTAAAGTGAAACAATAAATTAATGGGAATGAGTAGGCAGGACGTGTGTGTGTGTGTGTGCGTGTGTGTGTGTGTAGAACTGGAAATAAGCAGTTTACCAGGAATATTCTAAACTGCAGAGATGTAATAACATAACCTTTAAGTGTACAGAGCAGACGTGGGCAGGGCTACAAGAGAAGGTAACATCTGGCATAATCAGAAGAAGAATTGTTTTTGTACTTTTGTATTGAGGTACAAATTTATATAGGACAGTGAAATGAATAAATATTGAATATACACTTAGAGGGATTCTGAAAATGTGTTCAACCATGATAATATACCCCCAATAAGATACAGAACATCTCCATTCTCAGAAAGATCCCGTATGCTCCTTTCCAATCTGTTCCCTACTCTCCCCCAACTGTTCCACAATTTCATATAAATAGAATCATACAGTATACTCTTTTGGCTCTCAGCATTTTCATCTTTATTTTTGGTGTTTTCTTTCTGTTTTTGAAACAAGGGCCTGCACACATTCTGAGCTCTACCAATAAGCCACATCCCCAGCCCCACACTCAGCTTCGTTTGCTTAGCACATCACAGATGTGTGCCACCATACCTGCTCTTTTTTATTTATTTTTTTAACACTCACCACCATATAACTGGACATGGGGTAGGAGGACTGCTGTCAGCCTGTGCTACACAGTGAGTTCAAGGCCACTCTACACTACAAAGTGAGACCCTGTCTCAAAAAACAAGAACAAAAAAAGATTCATCCCTATAATCTTTCCTGTTTAATTTCTGAATAGTACTTCACTGAAAGTTTCTTTTTTTCTTTCTTTCTTTTTTTTTTTTTTTTTTTTGTGGAACCGGGGATTGAACTCAGGCCCTTGCATTTGCCAGGCAAGCGCTTATTCTACTGAACCATCTCCCCGGCCCCTGTGCCATCTCCCTGGCCCCTGAGGCATCTCCCCGGCCCCTTGAATGTTTCTAATACTAAAAGAATTTTCTGTTTTTATGTTATTGATAATATAATAGCTATAGATATGAAATACTTTAAAATTTATTCTGCACTGTTATTTTATGTTTCTGAAGTATCTATTTTCTTAAAGGTATCTTTTTGTTTATTTATTAATCTGCATGGACATTAGAGTTGTTTCTTTCTTTTTTAGCAATTCAAGAGCAGGTTCTTTTATTTTATTTTTTTTTCTTTTCCATGCTTTATATTAATTCACAACCAGATAATCTGATGTTTGAGAAAGTAGTTGTTACAGAGCTTCAAAAATTCCTTAGTTAACCACATATTGAGTATTTTAAGGGAAGTCTTATTGGACATTAGCACCCACAACCCAGATAGCTCAACAGTAAGTAAGACTTTTTCTGCCAGTGAGGGGCTAAGTACACAGACTGCTGCAAGGCTGCCTGCCTGTGTTCAGGTGCTGGTCCTGCCTTATGTAGGCCAGATGCTGTTAGGCCATTCTTGGCTCTTTTCCTGCTTAGGTTGCCTGTTCTATAAAATCTAGTAATGAGAATTAAGTAAGTTAGTGTTTGTAAAATGCTGAGAACAATACCTTGCAGAATAAGTACTATATTAGTATTGGTAAAATAAAAACAAGCTAATATATTTCTTTCACTGTTTCATCTTTCCCCTTCTTGTTTTTCCTTTCTTCCTTACTGTCTCCCAAGCACCTTATCTGTCTGAATGCATGACTTCCATTTTATTTTGCACAATTTTCTTGAAGTGTTGTTATTGACATTAGAAATGTCTAGGGGCCAGGGAGATGGCTCAGTAGGATAAGCGCTTGACTGGCAAACGAAAGGATCTGAGTTCAATCCCCGGTTCTGAAAAAAAAAAAAAAA